TTTAAATTGTGACAGCAAACTGGGGGGGAGAAGATCCCCGGGTAGTCATCACAACGGGCTACTTTGGGGTGGTTGTTGGTCCTATAGTAACATGTTACATCCCGTGAATATGGGTGAAACATGTTACAAAAGGTGACCTTATTCTTTAACAACATGTTCCCATTGCTGCTGCCTCTCCCCGACCCGCCTCTTGTGACAGTGACCAGTGATCTCTCCCTGAACTCGCTGTCACAATGTATTTAAAAACGCAGCCCACCTTATGAGGTAAAAGCAGAGAGCTTACACTGACAGTCTGCAGGAGCCCTGCATTTCACCCGCGATCTGCTGATCAGAGGTGCAATTTTTCAAAGCATTATGATCGGGGGACGGGGCCAAATCGCACTGTGTGTGTGAACGGGCAATGTCCTTTCACAGAAGTGCAGTTTGGGAGTGATCCTGCTCACGTGCCCCCATAGTAAGAGGCTTGCTTTTGGGGGCACTCGGCAGGGGGGGAGGAGCCAGGAGTTCCAGGGGGTACCCAAAAAGAAGAGGATCGGGGCTGCTCTGTGTAAAACATGTTTGTTTTTTAACAAAAAACAAATCACAAAAACTTTCTCAATACATTCCATGACTTGACAACCAGTAGCCAATGACTTGGGAATACAGTAGCTGGAAGTGGAGACTCCTCCATCCTTGCTGTTAGCATGGATGGGGGGAACTGAATCATTTTCAAGCCGTGTACAGCACTTTAAAACATAAAGACTTCCGTGGATTCCAGAGAGCAATCACACCTTCTGATAACATTTTATAGCAGTTTACGGACTGCTGAATATACTACTGAAAGGGTTTGGTTTAATGTGTTTGATAGGTGTAAAAAGTATCAGAAAGCAGATATCCTGTTCTCTGCCTGTGCACAAGGAGGGTTTGTGGAGAGGAAGAGATGGGGGGGGGGGGGGGGGGGGGAGAAATAAGGAGAGGTCTATGTTCTTTTTAATCCATCAGAAGTGAAGTAGACAGGGCTGACACCACATGCTTAGGAAATCAGAGCTGTGTTGTCATATCAAAGGGAAAGGTAGGTACATTTATGGCAAATCCATAGTTACTGCATTTTTCTGTAATCTCAGCATGTTTAAGGCTTCATGCACATGGGTGGTTCGGACCATCAACATTAAACACTGGTGTTTTCAGGCACCTTGGAGGCACAGGTGCAGCATCCAGCCCCACTACTACCAGCAACCTGTCAAAATCTATGATAGGCTGAAATCAGTGGTGGCTGGACTCTGGAACAAGCGGTACTGGGATCTGGTTTAGAAATTCCCGCATTTGGGGTATATGATCCCAAACACATATGGCCCTAAACATACATACAGTGCAGCTGTCCTGTATTTTAGTCCATTATAGATTTTGACACGGGGAATCATGCATTTATTCCAGGGGTACAGTGCTCAACATAAATGAGTACACCCATTTTGAAAAGAAAGATTAAAATCGTATCTCAAAGAACACAAGAACAATTTCCAAAATTTTGACAAAACTGAGTTTTATAGAACATTTGTTTATCTCATTACATGAAAGTAAGGTTAATAATATAACTTAGATTATTAAATATTCAGTTTTGCTCAAATGAGTTGATGCAAAAATGAATACACCCCCCAACAAAAACTACTACATCTAGTATTTGTATGACCTCCATGATTTGTAAGGACAGCACCAAGACTTCTAGGCATGGAATGAACAAGTTGGTGACATACTGCAACATCTATCTTTTTCCATTCTTCAAGAATGACCTCTTTTAGAGCCTGGATGTTGAATGGAGAGTGATGTTCAACTTGTCCCCTCAGAATTCCCCATAGGTGTTTGGTTGCGTTCAGATAAGGAGACATACTTGGCCATTGAATCACTTTCACCTGTTCTTCTTCAGAAATGCAACAGTGGCCTTTTGTGTGTTTTGGATCATTGTCATGTTGGCAAAGTGCAGGACTGCTAAGGGCACGGAGTGATGGTAGCATCTTCTCTTTCAATATAGAGCAGTACATCTGTGAATTCATGATACCACTCATGCAGCCCCACAGAAGGACACTGCCACCACGTTTCACTGTAGGCACCATGCATTTTTCTTTGTACTCCTCACCTTTGCGACACCATACAGTTTTGAAGCCATCAGTTCCAAAAACATATCTTGGTCTCATCACTCCAGAGTAGAGTCCCAGTAGTCGTCTTTTTCAGCATGGGCCCTGGCACAATCTAGGTGGGCTTTTTTTTGTGCATGAGCTTTAGGAGAGGCTACCTTCCTAGACGACACCCATGCATGCCATTCCTCTGCAGTGTACACTGTATTGTGTCACATGAAACAATCAGCCCCAGTTTGGCTTTCCACTGTGTTAGCTAACTGCAGTGAACTTGAATGGTGATTTTCTTCAACCTTTCTCATCAGAAGACGCTGCTGTCTAGGTGTTAACTTCCATGGACGGTCTGGACGTCTCTGTGAGATGGTTGCAGTCCCATCTTTGTATCAATTTTGCTACAGTGTTCTGACTGATAAATAAAGCTTTGCTGATCTTCTTGTATCCTCCATCTTTATTGTGTAAAGAAATTAATTTTCTGTCTCAGGCCTTGTGACACTTTTATTCCATGTAGTGCCATTGCAGACAGCATGAAATGGGAAGGGGTTTTCTTTGTTAAGTAACGCCCTTTTTTTCCCCATAATTTTTATTAAAGAGTACAGAAACCATAATATGTACATAAATATCAACGTACTGCAAGTAACGTAATATTACAAGTAACGCCTTTTATAATCAACTGGACTGCTGGACACCTGTTTATTGAATAATTAGACTCACCGGTATTTGAATTCTTGTTAATTAGGATTTTTGTTGTCTAAAATTTAGCTTTGCTCCTAAGACATTCATGGAGATGCATTCATTTTTGCAACATGGTCTTGAATGAATTAGTTAGGAAAAATACTTTTTTTGCATGTGCAAATGAACAAATCTTGTTTGCCATCAATGGCCTGCGTTTCTAGAATTTTGTAGTATAGTGTCCCATAGAAAATGTTGATTCTGAAAGGAAAGTAAAGGTTTTCTGACAAATCTGTTGGAGTGTACTTATTTATGCTCAGCACTCTACTATACACTTTTTTGTTGTTATTTTCACCTAACATATGCTTTCACTTCCAGACAATTCTATAAATTGTAGCATAAAACACTTTTTTTTGGAGACCAATTTTATTGAAATGTGTTGTTTTAAAACAGCAATATCAGATCTCTGCTGACAAAGTGCATAGTAAACAATACAAAAATACATTTTGTTGACCTCTTCAACATACGGTCAATTTATAGGCATTTTTCTTGGAGTCTTTCTAAAACGTTCATCAACTTTTACAAATATTTTGTAAAATGCAGTTATCTTTAGTGTATATATATATATAATTTTTTTTTTTTTTAATGTAAAAAATCTATGTTATACATACAAGATAACACTACACCATTTTAACACCATTTTGGTAAAAAAAACAATGACTTCATTTGCCTGTAGCTCAAGCAGATCAGGGACAGAAAATCCTACCTAAAAGGTAAATAAAACCTATAGTGTCTGCTGGTTTGTTTTCATCCTTTAACAACTCATTTGTAAACTGGTCATTGGGTTTCATTCCTAATTTTCACTTGGTCACTTTACTAAAAAAGGAACTGTCCTTAAAAGACAAACTAAAAGTAAATATAAAAAAAAAAAAAAAAAAAAAAAAAAAACACAGCAACTCTTTTACACATACCTTACACTGTTTTACATTGTCTCAGAGTTCATTAAAAAGTGAACTAACCCTTTAATCCTTAGGACAGCTATACATGGATCAAAATTCAGCTGGTTCAGCAGGGGCCAGCTGAGATTCGATCCATATATTGGCAGGTTGATTATACCAAAGTCGATCCACTGATCAACTTGGGCACAACCAGCCAGTCAGATTTTTTATTTACATGTGAGCACTGCCAATGGCTTTAGCCACTAGCAGTAATCATTGTGTTCTGCCAGCTGGGAAGGCTCCCTGCATCCCCTTGCCAGTAGAACACAATATTGCTGCGGTAGGCATTCACACCTGTCAACACTGATTGTTTTGATGGGGGAAATCGAGCGATTTTCTTCACTTCCATCTGTGGTGGAAGGAAAAAAAAAAATCCTATGGGCTTCCTTACAAGCAAATAGAGCCATTCCTGGGATTAGATAAGAGAGGAGGAAACTATGTCTCTGAGAGCGCCCTCTAGAGGAGCCACAGGGAAAGCTTCTCACCTCATCTCATGTATCCTCCAGCCACCTCCTGGAGGCACACAAGTGCTCAGGGGTTGGACTTGCTACAAAGTGCAGGGCTAAGCCAAAAGGAGGAGTGGTAGCATGGTAACATTGAATATCACATTAAACCGCTTCAAAAAGCTTCCAAAACACTGGAAACTATAGGTTTTAAAAAACCTAAAACAACTGAAACCATTTACAAAAAAAACGGAATCTGGAGAAAGTACTGGCACAAATTCTTCTGTTCATATAACAGAATACAATGTAGACAGTTGCGGACTGACCATTTGGAAACTCGGGCACTGCCCGAGGGCCCGGGGTCAGTAGGGGGCCCCATGAGATGCACCTGGTACCTTTTTAATAGGCTTTTTTGAGTTTGGGCAAGGACACAGGGGCCCCATGATCCCCTATTGCCTGGGGGCCCCATGAGTTGTCAGTCCGCCCCTGAATGTAGATGTCTTGTTGTAACTTTTAGCTATCCTTACACAGAGGCCGGTAATTGGGCAAATACTGATTTGTAACATAGCCAGTACAACTGACATTAGACAGTAATATCTCTCTGATATCTGAGACATTGTAATGAAAGCTGGAGTAAAATGACTAGTTTTCACCAAACACTGGCGGACAGTCAGCACCAGTTGATGAAAGTTGGATCGAAGACAAGCGACAATACACTTGTAGTGTGCAGTATTGCCACTTAACCCTGAGATAATACATATCCTTGCAATGTCAGCTGAACATCAACAGGACTCAGCATGCTGCATCATCAGTTTCCTGCTGTACTCATAGGCAAGGAAGAGGACACCATTGGCTGGAAAAGCGCGGATCAGCGTAGGCTTCAGTCCTGAATATAATGCCAGGAATCCTACAATTAAAACATATTTGATAAATAGGCAGCAAATCATCAACAGTAATAAAGATCAACTCCAACCAAACAGCTAAATACAACCAAAATACAGTATATAAAAGACACCAAAAAAATTGTAACATAATGCACCGATTTGAGACCCCCCCGGTGTGTGCTATTGCTGAGCAGCGTATATTTGGCCCCAGCAAAATACATTTTGTTGCACCACAATGCAAAGGCATCAAACTAAAAGAGGAACTTTAAACTTCGTTAAAAAAAAAAAAAAAAAAATGAAAAAAAAAATTTAAAAGTCAGCAGCTACAAATACTGTAAGCAGCTAACTTTTTAAGAAAAAGATTTACCAGCCCAGGACTCCAGCGTTGTCTTCACCCGTGCTGGTTCTTCGCTCGTCTTTGGATCTCAGGTGCTGCTATCTTGGCTGTGACTTACTGCTGTTTCAAAGCTGGCTCCCCACTGTGCATGCGTGGAATCATGCTGTGCTGCTATGTGCCGTGTCCCAAGAGGTTGGGGGTGGGAGCGAGCCTAGGCGAGAATTACGGGAACAGGGACCTGGCAGAAAAAGATTACTGCTCCCCCCCCCCCCAAAAAAAAAACACCCTTTAAATCCGCTGAAAGCGGTTGAGGGCAGTAAAAGCACAGCTCAGCCATGTGTTTTTACTGCCTCCCAACTGCAAGTGTACAGTAAATCTTACTGTCCACCTGCACTTTGTACTTCTAGTGAACACACCTGTTTTACGAAACAAAAAATGTTTCTAAAGAAATGCAATGTGATCCACCCTGGTGTGTGATATTAGTACACTACCTTTTTTTTTCCATTAATATTGGTTGAAAACCCCATCACTTTTGGACGCATTTAGTTTCTGGTAGTGGTGGGGGTGAAAATCGGATATCCCCCCTTGCCACAATCGGACCTGTAACATGTCCCAGAAGGCTGCAGGGCCATTCACAAACCGCAGCATGGCTTGCTCATGCACAGTGGGAAGCCGGGTGTAAAGCTGCAGGGAATCAAAGCTGGCTCCCCTTAGTAAACACGCTGATGCCGGGGACCCAAAGACTGTTGAAGAACTGGCCCAAGTGAAAACAGCGCTGTTAATGGTTTTTTTATCGTTTTTTTTTTGGGGGGGGGGGGGGTGCCTGAAGATCCTCTTTAATATAGTACTGAATCAAGAAGAAACAGAGGAAAAAAAAGGTAGAAAATGTCCATTCTTTTTTTTACTTGCAAGGTCACCTACAAGTAGACTCCGCTTTACTGCCCAACCATAAAATACAATGATGCTTAAACCATACACACCTAGATATTTTTATGGTCTGAGACTTTTTCTCTTTAGTTTTGGATAGTGATTTGATCTTAGCCAAAACGTTATTGTCATCTGTGTTCTGATCTATTGGCAAGATGGCAGACAGAACAGGACGTGAGAGGGAATCCTCCCTCTGGGAACTCATTTAAGAAATTTCCTTTCATCTCCTGCCCTGGTGACAGTTGTCACACAGAACAGGAAGTGATGAAAAACTTCCTAAAAAGGGACACAGACAACAATTAAAGTGGTATTAAACAAAAAAGCAAACATTTATTATACTGCAGCTTACCAATTCTTAGATATGGCAGCATTTGTTTTTCTTTTTGGTGATTGTGGTAAGTCTTGTTTTTCAACAGAACAAGCTCTCCTACAGATGTATATCAGCTTACAGGGATGAGAAACTATTCACTGCTGGCGGGGGTGCTTCGAATCATAAGATTTTATTTATGTAAAACCTTTATCAAAAAAGAAAAAAAAATGTTTGCTGGAACTGCTTATAAAGCATTAGCTAGAGTTTGGCTTCACTTTGTTAGATGAACTAGCAGGTTTAAATACACTTAACACTCCTCTCCCCCCCCCCTAGACCAGCAGTTCTCAACCTGTGGGTCGCGACCCCTTTGGGGGTCGAACGACCCTTTCACAGGGGTCGCCTAAGACCATCGGAAAACACATATTTCCGATGGTCTTAGGAACCGAGACACCGCTCCTCTATCTGTCTCCAGGTGTGGGCGGGATGACATGCCGCCCCTGTCATCTGGCCACACCCCCGGGATCAATCCTCGCCGGTGATTGGCCGCCAGAACTGTAGCTCAGGAGAGGCACACAGGCGGCCAATCACCGGCGAGGAGGTGGAGCTTGAAGAGGAGGAGCCGAGCAGCACACGGCGAAGATCGAGCGAGTGAAGAGGAGGAGAGCGGCCTGAGAAGGAAGACAGCTGACCGGTAAGTGTCTGTACCATGGGAGAGGGAGGGAGCGAGCGAGCCCAGGCTGGAGCAGGGGTCAGCAAGGTAAGCATCATTGGTGTCAGTGGGAGGAATAGTGCCCAATCATTGGTGTCACTAATACCAATGATGGGGCACTATTCCTCCCACTGACACCAACGATGGGGCACTATTCCTCCCCCCACTGACACCAACGATGGGGCACTATTCTTCTCCCCACTGACACCAACGATGGGGCACTATTCCTCCCCCCACTGACACCAACGATGGGGCACTATTCCTCCCCCCACTGACACCAACGATGGGGCACTATTCCTCCCCCCCCACTGACACCTACGATGGGGCACTATTCCTCCCCCCACTGACACCTACGATGGGGCACTATTCCTCCCCCCACTGACACCTACGATGGGGCACTATTCCTCCCCCCACTGACACCTACGATGGGGCTATTCCTATGACACCTACTCCCCCCCCCCACTGACACCTACGATGGGGCACTATTCCTCCCCCCACTGACACCTACGATGGGGCACTATTCCTCCCCCCACTGACACCTACGATGGGGCACTATTCCTCCCCCCACTGACACCTACGATGGGGCACTATTCCTCCCCCCACTGACACCACGATGATATTCCCCCCCCCACTGGATGGGGCACTATTCCTCCCACTGACACCAATGATGGGGCACTATTCCTCCCACTGACACCAATGACAGGGCACTATTCCTCCCACTGACACCTATGATGGGGCACTATTCCCCCATTGACACCTATGATGGGGCACTATTCCCCCCACTGACACCAATGATGGGGCACTATTCCTCCCACTGACACCAATGATGGGGCACTATTCCTCCCACTGACACCAATGATGGGGCACTATTCCTACCACTGATATCAATGATGGGGCACTATTCCTCCCAATGACATCAGTGATGGGACACTATTCCTCCCACTGACACCAATGACGTGGCACTACTCCTCCCACTGCAAAATTACAGTTATGAAGTAGCAACGAAAATAATTTTATGGTTGGGGGTCACCACAACATGAGGAACTGTATTAAAGGGTTGCGGCATTAGGAAGGTTGAGAACCACTGCCCTAGACTGGCTATGATGCTGTCCAAAAGGTGCCCCCTGTGTTTCTTCATCCAGAGTGTAGGCACTCTAATACAGGAGGGGTGTTACTGGACAGACTGCTAGGTGAATACAGAAGGAAAAAAAAGCCTAAACAAAATAAAAAATACAGCCACCACATCTAATGATTGGTAAGCTGCGATATATTACATTTTTGGTTTTGGGTTTAAGGCAGCTTTAAGTTCACAACTTTCCTCACTATATCCCAAAGTAAAATTAAAAAAAAAAAATTGTTGTACTTAGGCACTTCTTTATTATACAAGGATGTATGTAGACTGATAAGTGAACTGTGGTTATATCACTGCATGTTCAGTACACGGTTCTCAAAAAGTGATGAAATCTTTCTAATTTCAGAACAACATTCAGCTAATCCCAATATACATTCCTGCAGTTGGGAACACTACATTTTATGCTTTAAAAAGCAGACATACCTTCATTCTTCACAATACTTGAAAATGTTCCCAGGAAGCCAGCATGCTTCCCTGTGATGGAGAGGACCTGGATCCTGGACTTGATACAGTCCAAAGGGTATATAACAAGCCACAGAGCACATCCTCCACATCCACCGCTTATCATCAATGCTACCGGACCTAGAATGGAGAGTCACAATGTAGTCACAACTTCTGTGCAGGTACATGTATTAGAAATGGGTCAGGGTGATCTGTTTTATTGGCTGTACTGGGAGCTGGGCCTTAAAGGGTACTTGCTTGCCTGCCACCAACATAACTGGGGCGTTTGTCTTCGGCAAGGGCAATAATGCTGGGTTTGTACCCTTTCAAAGCAGCTGGTACCACCTGTGTGGCATGAGATCCGTGCCACTGATATAGAAACTTTTCATTGCATATTTTACAAATATTCATGGGAAGAAAAAAAAAATCAGTTTTATCAATAAAAGAATCACATTTAAATGAAAGAATACATTTTACTTAGATGTTTTCTTTTTTTTTTTTCCAAAAATAATTTTATTGGGAAAGTTAAGGCAGATCAATGTACATACAAATATGGATTACAAGATGTTTTCTAATCAACATGATATAATTTAGTACAATGGTGAAAAAGAAACTTTAGTAAACAAAGCAAAGAAATTCCAAATAAAGTTGAACTCATCACAGTCTCCCCCTTATATCAGAGTCCCGCTTAGGTCAGGATCCTCATCAGGGTCCCCAGCAAAGTACGCCTTACATCAGAGTCTCCATCAGAGTACCCCTTACATCAGGGTTCCCATCAGAGTTCCCACTTACATCAGGGTCCCTATCAGAGCAACCCCTTACATCAGGGCCCTCATCAAAGTCCGTGCTTACATCAGAGTGCCCCCTTACATCAGGGTCCCCATCAGAGTGCCCCCTTACATCAGGGTCCCCATCAGAGTGCCCCTCACATCAGGTTCCCCAGAGTCCTCCCTTACATAAGGGTCCCCATTAAAGTACGCGCTTACATCGGCGTCCCCCTTTACATCAGAGTCCCCTTTACATCAGCGTCCCCATAAGAGTCTCCCCCTTACAACAGGGTCCCCAATACAGTTCCCATCAGAATCTCCTCTTACATTAGGGTCTCAGTCAGATTTCCCCTTTGCATCAGTGTCACGATCAGAGTCCCCCTTTCATCAGGATCCCCACCAGAGCCCCCTTTTACATCAGAGGGCCAGATCAAATCTTGCAGCAGCCCAGAATTGGCCCTCAGGCTGTAGTTTGATGTCCCCTGTTCTTTACCAATCTACTACAAGAAACGGTCCTGCTATGAAAGCCAACTTATTAGAGGAGTTCATTTTTACCCATTTTATTTCAGGTATTCACATAGCATTCATAATCTATATAGAACTTTACATATGTTGTACTATACCTTCACATCAGTCTCGGCCCTCAAGGAGATTAAAATCTCTATCTCCAACGCATAGACATACTGGATCCAGTTTAAACAGGAGTCAATTAACTCCCACAAACACAGGCAGAACACGCAAACTCCACACATCGAACTGGAGAAGCGATAACCACTGAGCCGCTGTGCTGACCTAGCTCGGTTTTAAAGGATAAGTTCACCTTTGGATAGAGAATCTGCTACTAAAACAATCAGCACATAGGGCCCCCCCCCCCATCCCCAAATGCATATGCACATACAAACATAAATGCACATGCCTGGGGTGCCAACGCATGAAACATCTATTGAGATACATGTTACATATCACTGCGCTGACAGAGAGAAAAACAATTCTAGCAGCAGAGCTCCTGGTTAACTTTAACCAATTCAATACCGGGGCAATTTTACTCCTTCCTGCCCAGGCCAGTTTTCAGGTTTCAGCGCTCTCACACTTTGAAAGACAATTGCGCGGTCATACAACATTGTACCCAAACTAAAATGTTATCATTTTCTTCACACAACTAGAGCTTTCTTTTGGTGGTATTTAATCACCGCTGGGGTTTTTATTTTTTGCTAAATTAACACAAAAAAAAAAAAAATTTTGAAAAAAAAAAAAAGTTTTTCTTTGTTTCTGTTATAAACGTTTGCAAATAAATAATTGTTCTTCATAAATTTAGGCCGAGATGTATTCTGCTACATGTCTTTGGTGAAAATAACCCAAATTAGGATGTATTTAGTTTGTAGGAAAGTTATAGAGTTCACAAACTATGGTATATATCTGAATATTGATCAATCCTGAAGTACTGACAGCCAATCTAATTTCTTGAGGTCCAAGAATGTCAGAACAGTACAGATATCCCCCAAATGACCCCTTTTTGCAAAGTAGACAGTCCAACGTACTTCATAAGAGGCATTGCGAGTTTTTTGAAGTTGTGTTTTTTTTGTCATAATTTTTCGGAAAATTAAAAAAATTAGTTTCACTATTTTTTTTTTTACATATTGTCACCAGTGCAGTACAGCGTCATCATATAACTGGCATGGCGGTGATCAGGGACACTGACTGGTGACAGTATGAAAAAAAAACACAAAATATATATATATATATTTTTTTTTTTTTAATTATTATTTTTTTAAGATTTTTTTTTCATATTTCACTATGACCAAAGTAGTACAGTTTTACCATAGTAACATTGTACTACTTTGGGGAAGCGATCAGTATTTTTTTTTTTTTTTTTTTTTTTTTACACAAAGAATTACTTTGCTATAAGCAAGCATTTACCTGAATGACATCGATTCATTCAGGGTTTTTTTTTTTTTTTTTTGTGCTTAGCTGTGATTTAGCCACAGCTAATCACATGACATGTGCACATGATTAGCTGTGACCATTCACAGCTAGACACTAGTATACAATGGATGGCATGAATGAAGACATCCATTGTATACAACCGTCATGTGACCTGCTGTGATTGGTCACAGCAGATCAGATGGTACCCATTTTTGGGGTGGAACATGCAACATGTTCCCATAGCCGGAGCCAAAATTCCCTCCTACTGACAGACAGTTCGGGGAGACCTCCCCCTGAACTGTCAAATTTGAAAACAGCACGGCCGTGTGTAGGGTTGTCACCTCATCCCTTTAAAACCGAACACATTAATTACACAGGTTCTGTGGCTGATTAAGGTGATCATTAAACTCATATATGCCTTATATGCATTAAATTATCCTCAGAACCTGTGTAATTAATGTGTTCAGTTTTAAAGGGATGAAGTGGCGACCCTAGCTGTGTGGACCTCCGTGAATGAATGCACTGCAAGTCCCAGCAGTCTCAACGGCTGTGGGCTTGTAGTTTTCAATTATCTACCACAACGCTGTGGAGCACCATGGTAGTTCATTGAAGCTCCCTGTCAGAATATCTGCTTGCTCGTATAACCCGTATGGCAAGCAGATATTCTGACAGGTTTGCAGGAGACCTGCATGGCATCAGCAATCTACTGATCACTGGTGCAATGCTTTACAGGCTCCTGCACACAAAAATAATAAATGGACATTTTTTTACCGGCAAATGTGCATTTATTATTTTTGTCCAAAAGGTGAACTTATCCTTTCATATACAAAAATCTAATTCTGTGCAAAGGACATTTCAATTTTTTTAAATTCATCTGCATGAAAACAAGTTCAAACTAAATATAGGTTCGTGAAATATGACTTTAATAATGCTTCTATTTACTATCATTGCCAGAACATAAGGCTGGCCATACTTCATACAAATTTAGATTTACTAAAACCATATAGTTTGAGGTCAAACCTACCTAAACACTTTCAATTTGTATAGAATCAGGCAGGCCCTTGCACTACAATAGTTGAAGATAAATCCAAAGGAAACTGAACAGGAAAATTGTATAATGTATGGCCAGCTTTAATTATATTAGGGAATTTATATGCATATTAGGTAATATCAGCACACCAGGTGGCTAGAACATCAATAGCACTTTTGTGTAGGCTGGCCCTTTAGCCCCCATTCACACCTGAACGTTTTTCGGCTTGTTTCTCTACACCTTATTATGCCGGATCTCATTCTTTTTAACTGTGCGCTCAGCCGCCTTTGCTCATAAAAGTACATTAGTTTTTTTTAGCATAATCAGACATTATTAATTGTCATCACTTACACTTTCTGCGCATCTCAGTGGCAGATGCAAAGGAACATATTGAGAGAGCAGAATTGTAGACACAGGCTTAAAGGATAAGCTCAGCTTTTACCAAAAAAAATAATAAAATGCACATTTTTTTGCAGGTAAAAAAAAAAATGTGCATTTATTATTTTTTGTCTCTGGAGTAGGGGTGCACACCTCATCTCTTTAAAACCAAACACATAATATTTACACAGGTTCTGTGGCTGATTAAGGTGGTAATTAAACTCATTAAGTCTTATCTGCATTAACATAGCCACAGAACTGTGTAATTAATATATGTTTGGATTTAAAAGGATGAGGTGGCAACCCTACTCTGGAACCTCTAAAGCAGTGGTCTCCCAACTGCGGCCCTTTGCTTGCCCTTATCTGGCCCTTGGGGCAATTTTTCTCCCACTGATACAAGACACTATTCCTCTCACTGACACCAACAAGGGGGCATAATTCCTGATAGTGACATCAACAACAGGCACTATTCCTCTCACTGAAACAAACCATGAGGCACTATTCCTCCCACTGACACCAACGGGGCACTATTCCTCCCACTGACACCAACGGGGCACTATTCCTCCCACTGACACCAACAACGGGGCACTATTCCTCCCACTGACACCAACAACGGGGCACTATTCCTCCCACTGACACGAACGGGGCACTATTCCTCCCACTGACACGAACGGGGCACTATTCCTCCCACTGACACCAACAACGGGCACTATTCCTCCCACTGACACCAACAACGGAGCACTATTCCTCCCACTGACACCAACAACGGAGCACTATTCCTCCCACTGACACCAACAACGGAGCACTATTCCTCCCACTGACACCAACAACGGAGCACTATTCCTCCCACTGACACCAACAACGGAGCACTATTCCTCCCACTGACACCAACAACGGGGCACTATTCCTCCCACTGACACCAACAACGGGGCACTATTCCTCCCACTGACACCAACGGGGCACTATTCCTTCCCACTGACACCAACGGGGCACTATTCTTTCTCCTAATACCAAAGACGCATTGTTTACTCCCAATGATGCAGGATAATTTCTACTCCCAGTGACCACAGTCTGGCCCCCCTAAAGTCTGAAAGCTAGTAAACTTTCATTTTGTTTAGAAAGTTTGGAGACCCTTGCTCTAAAGCACTGCATCAGCGAATCGCTGGTGCCATGCAGGTCTCCTGCAGACCTGTTAGCATATCTGTGTACCTGTGCATCAAACGGGCAAGCAAATACTCACTGACAGGAAGGCTTCGATAACAACAACAGCACTCCACAGCGCCATGGTAGTTCATTGAGAACAGCAAATCGAGAGCTGCAGAGGCTGCCAGGACTTAGTTTTCTCATTCACAGAATACTGTGAATGAGTGACGCGGCCGGGCAGGCAGAGCCCCGCGTGCATGCGTTTCTTTAAAAATTGTAACAGCCAACGATGGAAAAACTTCTCCTCCTACCTGTCACAATGGGAGATCACGGAGGTGCAGCCTGGATATGGGTGCATCATGTAACTTGTTACAAAAGGTGATCCTTTAAAGTCAATTAATATAGATGGGGATCTCTAGAGTATTTATAAAGACTGAATGTACAGAATTTTAAAGAAACAGGATGGAATAATTTAGAACTGAAACTTAAAGCATATATGTAAGTTTTGTTGACTTCGGTTATGCTGGAAGTTGTTCTTTAAGGGCTGATTCACACCATGCTCACACATGAATCGCACAGGAACGTGTTGTGTGTTTCAGTACGATTTACACCGCATGCAAAACGCATACCATTTGTGATCTGCAGCAGGTGTCCATACAAAGTTAACGACACCCCAAACACAGTGCGTTTGCCCACACCTGCCCGCACTGAATAGCATGGTACTTTTGCACCATGCAATCCAGGCGCAGTACTTTAAAAAGTTGTGCATGCACTGCTTTTGGTGCGGTGTGATTTCAGCCCATTCAAAACGAATGGGCTGAAATCGCACCTTACAGACCCGCGTGTGATTCGCACAGAAATGCACAGTTCGTTCCTGTGCGGGGACGGTGTGAACCGACCCTAAAGCCACAAAAAAGAGTGTTAGGTGAAAGCCAGACCAGCTCTGTAATTCATTACTTACCAAGCTCATCCTTTGATTTTTCACCTGAAGCTAAAAGTGTTCTGCTGAGCTCGTATCCACCAAAGAAGACGAAGTAACCAGGCATTTCTCTGCATATCGTGCTGACCAGACCCCGTACAAGCCAAAGGGACCTTCCTGCTGCATAATGCCTTTCAGCACTGCCCACACTGTACTGACACAAGCACAGACATTACTTGGGATATCTTGTACACAGCATTACATATAAAAACAGTACTGGGTCTCATTTATCAAAGTGGCTGAAAAAGTTCTGATTCTCTCCGAGCAATACTAAAGAATAAGGAAGAATCTAATTAACTTCAAACAGCGCAAAAGCTGACCATAGACATTAAGGGGTTTATTTACTAAAGCTGGAGAGTGCAAAATCAGACTCATTTCTGTATAGAAACCAATGAGCCTCTAACCTCAGCTTGTTCAGTGAAGCTTTGGCAATAAAATCTGGAAGCTGATTGGTTTCTATGAAGAAGTGAGCCTGATTTTGCACTCACCAGCTTTAGTAAATAAACCTGAGATGTTGCTAGAAGGTACGGGCACAATCCCACTAATCACATACGTCTCAGGCAGCCTAAATTCCCATAGGTGTGAGGACAGAGGAGAGAGAGAGAGAGATGTAGACACATCTGTTGATGGCTTGTAAAGGAACAATATATCTGGGAATGTTAGGCAATTGTTGGTGTAAGGCCAATGTGGTGCCAATATTTAAATCCCTGATGTAATCCCTGCGGTTACACCTCCTCTTTGGCAGAGCAGATGCTGTTATCTTTTGAATTACAGAGAAAATTTAATTAGACTTTTCTCCTAAACGGTAAGGATTTTCAATATGTTATCAACGGTTTAGTGTAGGGAGTGTACTAATGGGTGATTTTTTTTTTTACCTATCCCGGAGTTCTTCTTTAAGCCATGCCTCCTTAAGGAATGTCCCTAACCACACAGTCTTCTCTCACTCAGTCAATATATTCGATCTATACTTACTTTTGTCCCTGTAATATCTTGCCAGAGACTTGCAGTTCATGCATGGCCTGGAGGCGGCATTTCACCAGCTCCGTTGGGCAAAGAACCATAGCAGAAAAAAAACTGGCAAATGATCCTGCAGTCGCATTTTGGAGGTCACTGCAAATAATAACATGTAGCGATCGGTTATACGATAATAATGATTGCATCACAGTACAAAACAATACAGGGTATCATATGATTTTGGATTAAAGACAGGACTGGAAAAGCTTAATGTGAACCTGTGACCAGACTATTCACACTAAATTATACATTTTGAACAAGCAGCAAAATCACTTTAAAACATACCTTCATAGCCCTCTGTAGCTAAAGGGCATTGTGAAGAAATGAATCTCCAAAGTATACAACAGAGACACTAAAAACCTAGCTCTTTTCCTATCACTTTCTATTGCAAGAGATCTTGGCAGCCTTCCAGTTTCTAATGCATGTACTTCAAGAGTCTGTTGTGAGCCCTGAGGAAGAAGGGAACCCCCTTTGAAATGCATCAGCTTCATCCTGAGAGTCTCCTCTTTTGATGGGACCCGCACGTGTCTCCTATTCCAGTGCTTTGATGTTGGATTTTATATGCCTTCATTATGGCTACTTTTGTGAGTATATATCTCAATTCAATAAATTCCCCCTTTGCTTACTAAGGTAATGCGCAAGGTTGGTGCGATTCTGTTTTTGTTCTTTGTTACAACCATTAAGGTGCACTTTAAAATACAATTCTCATTCCTATGAATAATTTATAGGCTTGTCCTGCAATGTTAAATACAATTAATAGGCAATATAAATAATAAACAGTTTTTTTATGTTATATACAGTATTTGAGTCTGGATTTAAAAAAATGTCTATTGTACTTACCTTAGTGCTGCATTTTTGTCTAAGCCTACAATCTTCCTCACAATCCTCTGACAGAAGCCATAGCTCATGAAAAGCACAGAATTTTCAGCAATGTTGGCGAGAAGGGCTGGGCTGGTCCCTTTGTAGAATCCTCGGAAGCCCACCTGTTTGTAAACCTTCACTGCACAGTCTATCAGTCCTCTGTACATGGTGGGGAATGTCTGCATTTTTACCTTAGCAGTGTCTAATGGCTGTCCAACAAAGACGCATGCTGTTCCACCTACAAAAACAAATTACGTATTATAATAGACTTAGCATTGGAAGATGGCACCTTCCCCACTGACCACCAATGCAAAAGAGCACAAATGTAAGGGGACATGCCTCCATTAACCTTAAAATTAAGGGGACACTTCTCCGCTGACCACCAATGTAAGGGGACACTTCTCCGCTGACCACAATGTAAGGGGACACTTCTCCCGCTGACCACCAATGTAAGGGGACACTTCTCCGCTCGACAACCAATGTAAGGGGACACTTCTCCGCTGTAAGGGGACACTTCCCGCTCGACAACCAATGTAAGGGGACAACAACCAATGTAAGGGGACACTTCTCCGCTCGACACCAATGTAAGGGGACACTTCTCCGCTCGACAACCAATGTAAGGGGACACTTCCGCTCGACAACCAATGTAAGGGGACATCGACAACCAATGTAAGGGGACACTTCTCCGCTCGACAACCAATGTAAGGGGACACTTCTCCGCTCGACAACCAATGTAAGGGGACACTTCTCCGCTCGACAACCAATGTAAGGGGACACTTCTCCGCTCGACAACCAATGTAAGGGGACACTTCTCCGCTCGACAACCAATGTAAGGGGACACTTCTCCGCTCGACAACCAATGTAAGGGGACACTTCTCCGCTCGACAACCAATGTAAGGGGACACTTCTCCGCTCGACAACCAATGTAAGGGGACACTTCTCCGCTCGACAACCAATGTAAGGGGACACTTCTCCGCTCGACAACCAATGTAAGGGGACACTTCTCCGCTGACCAGCCAATGTAAGGGGACACTTCTCCACTGACCAACAATGTAAGGGGACACTTCTCCACTGACCAACAATGTAAGGGGACACTTCTCCGCTGACCAACAATGTAAGAGGGCAAGTCAACACTAACCAGCAATGTAAGGGCACACTTCTCCACTGACCACCAATATAAGAATACAAGTCACCACTGACCACCAATATAAGGTGACACTTTACCACTAACCACCAATGTAAGGGGGCAGCAATTTTAAACACTTTTTGCTTTTTAAATGTCATTGTTGCTGTAGCACTTTATACATCACAAAGATGTGTTCCTTCACAGGCAGGATTAGGGTACCCCCTAGACATGTTATTTAAAGGAATTGAGCATATTTAATGTTTCACTTTAAAGTGGAACTTTATGGAAAAAAAATAAAAATGGGCGAACAGGCAGAATGTTTAATGCATGTTTTGTCTCTTCTGCATTAAAGTTACTTACCTAAATAAATCAATAGAGTATAGGTGAGCTCACAAAACACAAATGAGCTGCTGGCATAACAGGACAAAACCCCTAAATCCTCTGGTAAATACTAAACAAGTATGCAGCACTTATGAAAATGATCTAATGAAAACAATGCAATAACTGGAGAAAATTGAACTGAATAAGGTGACAAGTGATAAAGTGAATGGATGAAGTTATAAAACTAAAATATGCACAGATAAATCAATAAATATTGCACTAAATGTATAGACATAAGTAAATAGATGATAAAGTTCACAAGGTGCAATAAAGTGCTCATCAATCCATATGCCAGTAAACTAGTGACTGGATGAGAAATCAAATAAGTGATCGTTAACACTTCAAATATAACAGTGATTCCGATGACTGGGAAGCAGGAATTTGGAAATAACTTAAGTGCTCGTGACTTCAGATGGTGATAAATTGGTATGTGCTTGCTCTTACCAGAAGCGCAAGTTAAATGCGCATGCAACAAAAACCTCCAAACAGGATCCTGGTGGTCATCATGGATCTGGTCAGGGGCAGAAGGGGGCTCCACTGGCATACACACACAGCAGGGAAAGCACTCCAGACATTGCTAATGGACCAATCCAGCGTAAAGGGGGGGGGGGGGGGGGGGGGGGGATCTGCTCCTTAATATCCAATTCAGCCAAGGTGCACCAATACTGTCAGATGTTACTCCTCCACCTTAAACGGCTCAGTAATCAAGCCACCAGACATGGATATTATAGTGTAGTAACTTTTAATTGATATCGGCAAAGTAATCTAAATATTATTGTGAAAATAAATCAAGCTTACATCTACAGTACTAAAGATGGCCGCTGGACCAGCATGCAGCCTCGCAGCGTGACATCAACACAGCAAGGCTCCTTCTAGACGCGGTTCGTGCGACAGCACGTTATCGAAGGGATGGCCTTGCCGACGACGTCATCCGCTTTTTATAGCTCCCGCACGCATGCGCAACACGGGCGCCATTTTGTGACAAGGCAGCCGTACCAATAGGAACTGCTTAAGGAAACCACTCAGCCCACCAGGGAAGGCAATACAAAAGAGTGAATATTATATTATGAACAGTAAGATGATGGAAAAATGCAAAAACTAGAGCGGCTAAAGGAGTAAATTAATACCAATAATGGCCGCCATTTTATTGAAGTATGACAGTATTCTCTATAGGGACAATACAGGAGACGGTCTCTATTTTGTTGTAGACCCATAAAACGATATGGCAAAATGAATATAGTTATAATTAATAATATTATGCCAATAATAGGGAATGCATCAACTAAAACTACAACAATGTATATATAACAACCTATCAACATGATGTTATCAATCAAACTGAATCTAGCGTATTGCCATTCAACTGGAGGACTACAAGTGCAACAATGTTATAAGAACAAACAGAAGGATTTTGTTGCCTAAAAAAAATACATGCTTTATGAATCACAAATAAAAAAGATGAAATGTATATGTATAAAAGCCAAATTTTATATTAAGAGCCAATTTGAAAAATGAAAAAGTTGAATTCCAAAAATATGGAAATAAATAGAATGAGTAAAAAGGAATTAGCGTCAGCATGTGTAGAAAATCTATTGTTATATAAAAATATTTCAAAAATTGATAAGCACTCTATTGCACCTTGTATCATCTATTTACTTATGTCTATACTTTTTTAGTGCAATATTTATTGATTTATTTGTGCATATTTTAGTTTTATAACTTCATCCATTCACTTTATCACTTGTCACCTTATTCAGTTCAATTTTCTCCAGTTATTGCATTGTTTTATTAGATCATTTTCATAAGCGCTGCATAAAAGTTACTTACCTGTCTGTCTGCCCCTGTACAGTGAGCTGCGCATGCGCAACCCATTGTACAAGTTTAACAATGCTGAGATGACTGAACTTCCATCCATGTGTGGGAGAGACGTCATCTCAGCCCAGCCAATGAAAGCTGTCAGTGATTGATGTCAGCAGCAGGAGGGGAGCTTCTGAGGAGTTGAACATACTGTCACTTCAGGCATTTAAAAAATACTGCTCCTGGCATCTTAATTTGACAGATTCAGCTCCCATTAATTTCAATAAGGTTCGCTGAACCCTACTCTACATGAATCCAAGGTAGTCCGGCTTATCCCTAGTCATGATTATTATAATATGATTTCTATTTTCATCAGAGATAACATAACCTGTATAGTACATTACCCCCCTGTTGTAAAATACCTTTCACAGGAGTTAATAGAGCTTCACCATCACAAAAACAATGCAGCTCCATAAACCGAAATATACTAAAAGATCTGTGGCTCCATCAATGTTATAACATATCCATATACTGTACACTTGACCCACCTACAGCTCCGGCAGTGAGATCTATAGCTGCTTGCAGAGCCGAAGTAGGTGCCATGTTTCTGACTTGCTGTTTCTACCTAGGAAGGAAAATCATACAATATTTACTTTGTTCTGCTGAAGGACAGAATATTCATAGAATTAAATGAGCAATCTTATTATTATTATTGTTAATAAGAACAATAAGCAATCATAATAATAAAAATAATAATTAATAAAACTAATAAGTAGCGATCTTGTTAATAATAATTGGCACTATAATAATTATGAATATTATTATGAATATTATTATTATGAAATCATAATAATAATTAGTAGTAATAATAACAATTAGCAATCTTGTTAATAAGAAGAATTAAAAGAAGTTATCTTATTAATAATAATAAACATAATAATTCACCAATTCACAAAAAGAACATTGGGGAACTGGAGAAAGTACAGAGAAGGGCAACCAAACTGATAAGAGGCATGGAGGAGATCAGCTATGAGGAAAGATTAGAGGAACTGAATTTATTCTCTCTTGAGAAGAGGAGATTAAGGGGGGGATATGATCAACATGTATAAATACATCAGTGGTTCATATAGCGAACTCGTGTAGAGCTATTCACCCTGAGGTCATCACAGAGGACAAGGGGGCACTCTTTACATCTGGAGGAAAAGAAATGTAATCTCCAAACATGTAAAGGTGTCTTCACAGTGAGAGCTGTGAAAATGTGGAATAGACTCCCTCAAGAGTTGGTTCTGGCCAGCTCAGTGGATTGCTTAAAAAAAGGCCTGGATTCTTTCTTAGATACACAGAATATAACTGGATACTAACATTTATAGGTAAAGTTGATCCACGGAATATCTGATTGCCTCTTGGGGGATCAGGAAGGAATTTTTTCCCAGCAGGTGCAAATTATATCATGCTTTGCTGGGGTTTTTTTCCTTCCTCTGGATCAACTGTGGGTGTAGGATTATAACTTTTTTTTTTGTTATGGTCGAACTTGATGGACTTTTGTCTTTTTTCAGCTAGACTATGTAACTATATGTAATAATCATTAGCAATATTATTAATAATAATTATAATCATCATCATTGATTTTGGATCCATATTTTACAACTGTATGCTTTTCTATGCGTTTTCACTATAAGAGAAGCATTAGCCTGGTCGTGTTCTGCACATACTATAAACAAACTACTGCGTGCTGTAATCCTACCTGTTGTCAGCAATATATCATCAACAGTATCCATGAAAGAACTGTTCAGAAATTCAAAGGCATAAATAGACTATGTCAAACACTTGTGGTTTGGGGGCATCCCTGTGTTTGTAAATAAATACTTTTTATCTTCAGCCCCTCCTTGTGACCAGAATGTGTCCTGATTCCCTCTATCCTACAGTATATGTATGAATAACATTTGACTTGGAGAGAAAATAGCCTAATACATTCGATTTGCCTCTGTTGACACAGAACACATGTACAGGATGTTTTTTTTCTAAATACGCCCCAAACATTTTTAGTTGGTCCAGCATATTGAGATTGGGTTGTCCCTATGATCAGCATCAAACTATATCTGTTCATGGAAATGAAATGACAGGGTTAGATATACAGTATGTATAGTGACAGAAATACTCCTGGTCACTTTAAAGCGGTAGTAAACCGCAGAAAAAAAAAAAAAAAAAAAAAAATCCTCTCCCTGCAAGCTAAGAGCATAATGTGCTAGTATGCGTCGCTGAAAACGAAGCCCTCCAGCAGAGTGCTGTTACAGCTCCCCAAAACTTCCATCTTCACCCGGTCTTCCTTCCAAGTTCGCGAGCTGCGGCCATCTGGATTGGCTGGACTGCGATGTTGTCACTCCCGTGCATGTGTGAAGGGCCATTTTTTGTATACGGCACTGCTCTACTTTAATTGACAATTGCACGGTCATGCAACACTGTACACAAATGCAATTTATATTGCATTTCTTTTCTTTTGGTGATATTTGATCATCACTTTTTTTTTTTTATTGTTTTGTGCTATAAATGAAGAAAGACTGATCGTTTAAACAAAAAAAAACTATATTTTTTACTTTTTGCTATAAAACATAAAATAAAAATAAATAAAATAACATTTCTTCATAAATTTAGGCCAAAATATATTCTGCTCCATGTCTTTGGTAAAAAAAAAAAATCCCAATAAGTGTATATTACTTGGTTTGCGTGAAAGGTATAGCATCTACAAATATAGAGTGCTTGAATTTGTATTTATTTTTTTACTAGTAATGGTGGCGTACAGCGACTTATAGCGGGACTGCGGTGGGCATTCTGACACTGATACTGCGTGGGAATTGACGAACAAGCCACTGACATCTCCAGTGACACTAATACAGTGATCAGTGGTAATAAAAAGCACTGACACTACTAATGATACTAATGTCCTCACTGACAGGATAGAAATCTGTTTTGTTGCTGGCTGGGACCCGCAGATTGACATCTTCAGAAGCCAATGCCAGTGCAATAAGGGCAGTGTGCGCTCGAGTCTCCTACCCGGAAATACAAAATCACGTATGTTTACCTGATTTTGCGCAGAGCAGCTTCCCTGTAGCAGGAAAGCCGCTATAGGATGGCCGGGAAGTGCTAAACTTCCCCTTCCTTCATTAGTCCCCATCCCTCACCAACACTGGTATCTTCTTCTGACTGCCGGCTATCATCATTGGTTGGTGCTGGATGGTGTCACTCCTGAGCATGCACAGGAGTCAGTCATCCCGACATACAGGGACTGTCTCAGTGATGCAAACTGAGCAGTGCATGCGCAGCTCAGTTTACATGCCAGAGGATGCTGCAAGTGGGCAGGTAGGTGTATTTTATTACAAAAGAGACATAGGGGTGATTTATTAAAGGCAAATAGCCTGTGCACTCTGTAAGTGCAGTTGCTCCAGTACTTAGCAAATGAGAGGAAGCTCTGCTGACTTCCATCATCCAATCATGTGCAAGCAAAAATGCTGTTTTTTTTTTCTTTTTTAAATTTTCTTTGTATATGATTGGGTATTTTTATGACGTGAAGCTTTATCTAATTTACTGAGGTCTGGAGCAACTGCACTCATAAAGTGAACAATCTACTTGCCTTTAGTAAATCAACCCTACTCCATTATGGGGATTTACTAAAACTGGCGCACACAGAATATGATGTAGCTGTGCATGGTAACCAATCAGCTTCTATCTTCAGCTTGTTCAATTAAGCTTTGCCAATAAAACCTGGAAGCTGATTGGTTTCTATGCTCAGCTGCACCAGATTTTGTGTGTACCAGTTTTAGTAAATCTTCTGCAATATAGAACCTTCCTGCTCACAGTTTGTGACAGCAGAACTTGAGTTACACTTTATGGGCTTGTTCACACTAGGTGCAGTGCGGAAACACATGCGAAATTGCACATTTTCCCGCATGACATGAAAACACGCTGCTTTCTGCAGTTGTGCGCAGATGCTATTAACCCCTCGGTGGTATTCCTGAGTGTAGCTCGGGGTAAAGTTTCAGTACCAGAAGTGGTAACCCCGATCTACACTCGAGAATACCCTGCAGCGTTGCTCAGGGATTCCCTCCAGCACTTTCCTTGTCCTGTGCTCCCGCGATGTCCCTCCTGCAGTGTCCCCACACATTTCCTCTGGCCTATGCCGGCACCCGTCTTCTGGGTTACGGTCCCTGCGAGCGTCAGGATATACAGGGGACGGAACCGGTGGGAAATTAAAAAATGTTAAAAGTGACATTCACTCAATACACTAAAATCACATTGTAAAACATTACTGTATCAAACCATTTCACATACATTTTGTCCCGAGTGCTTTGTCCTGTGCCCTGCCTACATTTTTACTGTTCTTTCTGCCTGGAAACTGAGAAACGTCCATGGCATCCAAAAAGCGTCCCTTTAGGTCAAAAGCGGTTTTAGACCAGCTAGAGAGCAGTGATAGTAAATCAGAACCACTTGCAGAATTGAGTGATAATGATTCGTGGGGAAATTCGTCATCAGACACTGAAAATGATTTTGCGACTTTGCTCAGTGAGGTGCGAACGTGGCGCTATATTTCAAATTTCTGTGTTTTTGGCTTGATTATATTATTGAATTAAATTTATTATGTTATTTTTTTTATGATTATTTATTATATTATAATTTATGATTTCGTGTTTCAAATTTTATCCTACCCGGGATGTTTACTAGACTCTTGTTCGGGTTTCAGTGAGTTATTCCTAAGAATTACAGGCCTACAATAAAAAAGCAACATATTTCCATGCAAAAAAATGTACCGCTTTGAGCACAGAAATACGGACATAATCAGACCGCTAGGGAGGTTAATTATTAATGGCACCCCCATTCATCTGGCAAATACATGTTTGTCCATGGCCTCCAAAACACATGGCACTGCGGTAACATGTGATTTTTTGCTGCATGATATTTAAAATTGTGCCTGCAATAGCAAGTTTACCTCAGACTGTCTACTTCATTTGTCTACAGTCATCTGGGCGATATTTGTACTGTCCAGTGTTTCTGGGCCTCAAGAAAAAAGATCGGCTGTCAGTATATCAGGATTTATTGATTTTCAAATATATCCCATAGTGTGTGGACTCTATAACTTTCCTACAGACTAAATAAACACTGATTTGAGTTATTTTCACCAAAGAAATGTAGCATTATACATTTTGGCCAAATTTTTTGTAGAAAGTTTATTTATTTGCAAAATTTTATAACAAACAAAGAAACTTTCAAAATCTTTTGTCTTTTTTAGTTTATAGTGCAAAAAATACAAAACCCAGCGTTGATTAACCACTTGCCTACTGGCACTGATGGACTGCACTGATCAGGAGGCACTGATAGGCATTGACAAGCATCACTAATGGGCATTGATAGGAGGCACAGACTGACACTGATAGGTGGCAGTGATGGGCACTGATAGGAGGCAGTGATAGGTACTGATAGATGGCACTAACTGGCATTGATAGATGGCACTGATCAAGAGTCATTGACAGGCATCACTGGTGGGCACTGAAAGGCAGCATTGATGGGCACTGACAGGCAGCATTGACGGGCACTGATTGGTACTAATAGGT